ATGCAAATATATATGTGTAGAATGTCCTTTTGTCTATGTTAGTTGTGTCTTGCATGTTGGTATTTGTTTTTGTTTAGCATTTAAGAGTTGATGAGTAGGCTAAATTGCTAGTTATGTGAATGATACTGTGGTGTGAAATGCGGTTTTATTAGCACATTTGTGGTTCATCTTTGGTATAATAGAATGACCCTAGCCCGAAAAAGGAGCTGCATGTTATAATCATTAGTAACTTCAAGAAATTAGAAATACTCACTGTTGGTGCCGAGGAGCATACTTCTTTTACATATGGCTGATAGAAGATAGAAGCCAGTTGAGGCTGGTCTTATGAATTATGATCTAGTTCATATTTCTCTTACTATCATGTGAATGAAGTCACTGAACTCATTTTTCATCAATGTTTAATTTCCCTATGTTTTTCCATGAGGTATTTGTTATTGGTGCTTGCTTTTGCTATGATTCTCTACTTTTAGTCTTTGTAGAAAATCTTGATCGACTTTGGATATTATCGGTTATATATGGTTTGCAACATTACGTGGCAGAGAATATTGTTTCTAATCATTTGAGATTGTGGAAAAGAAGGGACTGTAGCATTTCTTGTGTTTGGTATATCCTGTTGCACATGGTGTGGGATGCAAAACTATGTACTCCCATATTCATCACACTGTGAAATTACCCTTTTCACCTGGCATGTATCCCAAGCCCCAGGGCACAAGCTTTTCAATGCTGTTCATCCTTTTCATACTCATGATTTACCAAACACCATAATAAGGGATACTTCTGCTTTCACAAACAGAGTATCCAAGTTATTTTGTAACTTATCATGTGAAAGTGAAGATTTAAGCTGGTTGTTCTGCATATGAAATCCAGCTTTGAATTTTTTTTTTTTTTATTTAGTTTATCTAAATTTAAATTTAATGCTTTTGTGATATTTTCATGTGCAACTAAGTCAAACTTTGATGTGAAAGACAATCCTTGTGGTTTGAACAGATGTTATACTGAGGCTTATCAGTAAGGGCAAACAATTTCTAGCTCTCAAGTTCATATTTGAGTTTGAACGTACTGATGAGTTCCCTCCAGTGCCCTTATTGAAAGCCCATGTGATGGAATCAAAGCGAATTGCTCAGAAAGTTCGTAATAATGGAAAGAATTCTCGTCAGTCATTGGTAATACATTCGTATACTTCTTCGCTTTCTCAGCTAGGGTATCCTCGTGACTATTTTTTTTTTCCAATCCTCATGACTATTAAGGCATTAATATAATGAAGGATATAGAAATTTATTTAATTGACTGGTCAGATATATTTTATTGCTTTTTTTAGTTCCTTTTTAAAATCCTCTAGTCATATTTGTACTTTATAAATGAAAAGGATAGGATTATATGACTTATACAATATACTAAGGGAACACACAATGAGAAAAATAATAGTCTAGCTGATCTGTGTACTGTGCTGCGCCTGAGGCTTCAGGCACAGAGGGTGGCCCACAGCACCTTTCAAGCCCAAAGATGTATGGAAGGCCCACCTTCTCCTGCTGTTGGCTGTTCTTCTGAGACAGAATTCTGTTTTATGAAAAATAAAATTATTTCTTAACAATTTCAAAAGCTTTTATTTTTATTTAATTTTTTTCTGACATTTTTTTTTGTTGTTGTTTAATTAACAGTTTTATTTTATTTTATTTTTCTTTTTTTTTTCCTGTGGATACCTCATGTCTTTTTCTTGTCTACATGCAAGATATCCAGTGCACTGCAAAAGACATATTTTTCATAGCATTTCTCAGCTGAAGGCCCTGTGCCCTTTTGAAGTGCTTCTTAACCTTAGCGGTCTCTCAACTAAATTAGGTGTTATAAATTTTTTTATGCATCACTATCCCAAGTTGATATTTCCATGACATTGTTCCGAACAATGGCTTAACCTTGATAAGCCATTGTTTGTTTCAGTAACCATTTGTTTAACTTCTATTTCACTAGTATCGAATAACGTCTGCCCCTCTGGTATCCGTGATTCTTCCAAGAAAAAACATTGTGTGCTGAGAACTGCATAGGTCAGATATTTTTTACAAAATTAAGAAATCAGCATACTTAACCAAAACTTTATACAAGTTGTCGATGCTTACTGTAAGAGGATTCGCTGCTGCATTTCCGCCTCTCAAAGTACTTACTACTTGATATTAATCTGTAGAATGATGCTGCAATGAAAGAAATCACTGCACTCAAGGCAGTACTAAGGTGCATTGAGGAGCATGGTCTGGAATCTCAGTACCCTAAAGATGAGCTGACGACACATATCGACAAGTTGGAAAAAGAGAAGGCCGACAGAAAAAGAACTGCTGCTTTTGCCCCAGCTGCTGTACCACCCAAACCTCAGCAGAAGGCAAAACAACCCAAGCAAAATGGGAACAAGCGAATAAAGGCAGCACCTGGCCCTTCACCATTTATAAGGAAATTTAATTCAGCAGGTGCTCAGTCACATATATTGTCCATAAACAGGCCTGGTTTGTTGCTGGACCATGCTCCTCCTTACGTCAGTGCACCTGCTGGGCCCTATGGCTTGGTTGGGCCCGTTTTGGCTGCTGATCCTTATGGGGCCTCCTCGGCTAACCTGTATGGGTTGTCAGGGCCTCCGGTGGCCTTCTCTGGAAATTCATCTGCCACCATTCCTGGTGGTTATTCTTCTGAGGCACATTCACAACCTGGTTATTATGATAATAGAACGGCAACTTACGATGGGTATGATGTGCCATCTCAATACCATACACTGTACTATCATCCATAGTAATATGTGGATTTTCTCAAACTTTGGATGGGCATGCATGTTTGTGAATTCCAAATGATCTTAGAGGAAAGGATTACCTGTTTTCCTTGTTGCTCAGGTATTTTGGCACGACTGTTGTTTAATTCTGTTTTT